GGCAGCAAAGAAATGGAAATTGAGGGGATGCCCATCAATTGAGAGATGGCTGAATAAGTTGTGGTACATGACTGTAAAGGAATACTATTGTGCTATAAGAAATGACAAGTAGGCTGATTTCAGAAAAACTTGGAAAGACTCACATGAACTGATACAAAGTGAAATGAGCAGAACCAGAAGAACATTGTACACAGTAACAGCAACATTGTGTGATAATTAATTATAAATGACTTAGCTCTTCTTATCAATACAATGATCCAAGACAATTCCAAAGGACTCATGATGGAAAATGCTATCCCCCGCCAGAGAAAGAACTGATGGGAGTCTGAATGCAGATTGAAGCATACTATTCTTCGCTTTCTTTATCTTTCATGGTTTTTTTTTCTTTGTGTCTGTGTTTTCTTTTACAACATGAGTAATATGGAAATATGTTTTGTATTATTGTACATGTATAATCACTTACCATCTCAGGGAGGGAGGAGGTAAAAAAGAGAGAAAATTTGAAAATCAAAAGAAGTTTTAAATGAATGTTAAAAATTGTCCTTATATGTAATTGGGGAAAACCAATTTTTTTTTAAAAAGAAAGAACAAGGGTGTGGCTAGGTGGCACAGTGGATAGAGCACCGTCCCTGAACTCAGGAGGACCTGCGTTCAAATCTGGCCTCACTTGATGCTTACTAGCTGTGTGACCCTGGGCAAGTCACTTAACCCCAATTGCCTTAAAAAAATGCATGGAGTCGGGAGATGGTGGCCAGTTTGATTAACAGCAAGGAGATCGTGCTAATTGTCCTTTTCTCTGGACTCTGGACACCCAAAGCACCCACCATCAGACTGCTAGCTCCTTTGGGGCAGGGACTATCTTTTGCCTCTTTCTGTATCCCCAGTGCACAGTATTGCAATCAGCTCAGAGTTGAAATAACAAACCTGCAAATGGACTGCATCTGCCTTCATGCATCAATACTACTGCAGACCAGCTGCAAGGGACTCAGGGCTGGTCAACTCGTGAAAGCTGTCAGTAATGGATAACAACACATGACATTCACATTGCCCATAAAAGTCTGCCAAGCGCTTGACATAGAGTATCTCATCTGAGCCTTCCAGCCTCCTGAGGAGGTTGGCATCACTGAGTCATTCTTTCTAGTTTATGAGAATGAAGAAACAGGCTTCGATACGGTAAATGACCTGCCCAAGCGTCCCACAGACAGTAAGGGTCAGAGGTGGAGCTGGAGCCCAGGTTCTCCTGACTTCAGGGCCAGTCCTCTACCCACCACACCAAGGGAAGGCCCCATGTCCTTCCCTTGGCCTGTCCAGAGAGAGAGCAGGGATTATTATTTTTCACACACCCACCCTAAGAGACAGAAGCATCCCTCTCCATCTGCACCTTGCTTGAGCCTGAGAGAAAAGCAAAGCCCCCCAAATTGGTTCTTTCATCTCAGAGCCAACGTAGGCGGTCTCGGAAGTCTTGCCAGGACAAGCTGCCAGGTGCAGATGGTAGAAAGGAGAAGCAGGGTCCTTCACTCCAAGAATTCTCTCTCCATCCTGACTGAGCCAACTCAGGCCATTAACCCAAAGTCAAATGAAAGCCTTGGATAAATGATGGCATTTAGAAAATAAATAAATTATTTTTAGAAAATAAATAAACACATTTAATGAATTTAGGGCTAGGAATCAGATGACTTGGGGTCCATTCCCAACTGGGGCCCCTTAGACCTTTACTCTGGACCTAAAATGAAAAAAAATGAAAACTTTGGCCTGGATGATCTCTTCTGTCCCTCCTAGCCCAACCTTCTGATTTTATTTCACTGCTAAATTCATTAAGACAGAGCATAGATCTTGAGCTAGAAGCGACCTTGCAAACCACCTTGTCCAACTCCATTTTATAGATGAAGAAAATTAGGCCTAGAGAAGTCAAGAGACTTGTCCAAAGTCACAGAGATAGAAGAAGAGCTAGAATTTGAACTCAGGTCCTCTGACTTTCAGTCCAATATCCTTTGTACCATATCACACTGGTGGAAGGCTTGGCAAGGGGGTGATGATGGTCAACCACTAATGAATAACTCAGAAAGAAACAATGACAGAAATGGATATGAAATGGTGGTTTTCAGAAGAAATCAAATATATCCATAATCATATGAAAAACAAGCTCTAAACCACTATCAATTAGAGAAATGCAAGTTAAAACAACTCTGAGGTACCTCCTTATACCTATCAGATTGGCTAATATGACAGAAAGGGAAAATAACAAATGTTGGGGAAGATGTGGGAAAACTGGGACACTATTGAATTGTTGGTGGAGTCGTTAACTGATCCAAACATTCTAAAGAACAATTTGTAACTTTGCCCAAAGGGCTATAAAACTGTGAGTACCTTTTGACCAAAACAATATCATTATTAGGTCTGTATCCAAAGAGATCAAAGAAAAAGGACCTACAGGTACAAAAATATTTATAGCAGTTCTTTTTTGTGGTAGTTTAGACTTGGAAATTGAGGAGATGCCCATCAATTGAAGGATGGCTGAATAAAGTGTGGTATATGATTGTGATGGAATACTATTGTGCTGTAAGAAATGATGAGCAGGTGGATTTCAGAAAAACCTGGAAGGACTTACATGAGCTGATGCTGAAAGAAGTGAGCGGAATCAGAACGTTGTGTGGTGATTAACTATGATAAACTTAGTTCTTCTCAACAATACAATGATCTAAAACAATTCCGAAAGATTTATGATTTACTTTTAGGGAGTAAAAGCAGTGACTTGCCTGAGCTCTCCCCCAAACCCCTCCAGATACCTGTAAAAATGGCTCTAAATGAAAGATTTATGATGAAAAATGCTATCCACCTCCCGAGAAAGAACTACGGAATCGGAATGCCGATCAAAATATACCATTTTTCATCTTATCATTGTTGAATGTTGGTTTGGTTTTTTGTTTGTTTTGGGGGGGTTTTTGCAACATGGCTAATATGGAAATATGTTTTGCATGATTTCACATGTACAACTGATATCACATTTCTTGCCTTCACAATGGGTGGGCTTGGGATAGAGGAGGGAAAGAAATGAGAACTCCATTTAAAAAAATAAATAATAAAATCTTAAAATGATGACAGAATTTTAGAGGTGGAAGGGCCTCCAGCAAGTGGTGAGTCCAATCCAAACCTGACAAAGATTCCCCACGGTAGCATTCCCCACAAATGGCCAGCCAGTCTTTACTCCCATTTTAGAAGAAATAAACACAACTGAGGGCCATTATGGAGATGTTCTTCACACTTCATGGGGCACTGATGACCACAAAGTCCCAAATGGTCCAGAATAAGTATCTTTCTTGCCCAACGAATGTCATTTTCCATTTGGCTTTATCTGGCCCCCCACTCAGTCAACTTCCACTTTTAATGCTGAGAACAAAGTATGATGTTAAAATAATGCCTTTAACCAACAAGGGAAAAAATGAAATTCTTACTTATGACTTTGTTTCATGGGTTGCCAAGGATAGATAATCAATCACCATGTGGTCAAGTCAATCACTCAGAAAAAATCTAGCCTAACTATCCACACAAGAAAAACCAAGAGGATGATAAATGCTACTTAACAAACTGTGATATGCACTCTGATGGACAGCCTTTAGAGCTTATGTGTTTGTATATATATCTTGGAAAATATGACAAATAAGTAATAAATTGGACCCAGAAAAGATCAGGAATAGAAAAGGCTGGATTTCCTTTGGGAAACTGAATAATGCTCTAAATGACACCAAACTTCTCCCTGGAAACAGGTCCATCTTTTTAATAACAATATTCTACCAACACTGCTGTAAGACTGCAAGTCACAGGACATAGTGGCCTCTAACAAATTAATAATGCATATCACCCAAAGGGGGATGAAGAGGCACATGGTTGGCATAAGCAGCCTGCTACCCATTACAAGCAAGGAACTGTGAAGGCGTGAAGGATGTTATCAAAGCATTAGGTGACACAGTAGAAGAGTGTTAAGCTTGGAATCAAGAAGACCTAAGTTCAAATCTATCCTCAGACATCAGCTCTGTGTCCTCGGATCAGTCATTTAACCTCTGTTTGTCTCAGTTTCCTCACTTGTAAAATGGGCATAAGAATAGCCCCTACCTCCTAGGGATGTGGTGAGGGTCAAATAAGAATGTTTGTGAAGTGCCTGGCACATAGCGTGAGCTGCAAAAAAAACCACTAGCTATTGACTATTATTATCATCAAGCAACATATAAGTAAAAAAAGAAAAGGTGGTCATGTGGTGAGAGTTGGGGGATAGTCAATGGATCACACGTATGTTCTACTAGTCACCTCACAGGTGTCCAGAAAAGAAAAACTGGAGAAGGCCCCAAGCATGGTGGGTGGACTCCCAACGCCCTGTGGCAAACTGATAGGAAGACACGGATGAAAGACACGAATGATGGGCAGGCATGGCTGGTCTGTGATCTGCAATGCAATGATGTCTCTTTCTGACTCACTGGACTCTTTCCGATGTCTCCCTACCCATGATTCACATACTAGGAGCTTAATAATTGTTTCCCGATTGACTGATTGAATTCCGCTCCCAACTCCTTCACCAAGGGAAGACTTGCCCAAGAATAAACAGACTGAGGAGGTGGTTCCCAAAGAAAACTCCAGAAGCCCCTGGACTGAGTGCAGGGGCTCCCGCAGGAGTCAGTTCTTGGGGGGGGGAATGGCGTTTCCTAGAACGTTAACAATGTTCTCTTCTGTGCATGAGGACATCTATCTGGAACACCTCAAAAAGTCCCTTCACTGCAGGGATTCCGGGAAGACATTGGCATCCACCCCCAGTGAAGAAGGTCACAGAGCAAACAGGACCCCAATCCCTGCTCAAGCAGAAGAATAAAAAGTCTCTTTCTGAAACGGCCACTCGACCCTCTAAGAGACTCAGGGCGGCCGTCAAACAGCAAGCTAAGGAAGCACCCCGCACACCATTGGTGCTTAATAAATGCTTGTGGAGTTGGATGGAGGCCAGGAAGAGGAATTACCTTTACACGCCCCTGCTGCTCCGAGGTGATAAATAGCCGCCAGCACCCTCCAAATGGCCTGCTGCTCACTCGCAGAGATGCCCAGCGTCTCCATGGCCCCTTGGAGGTGAGAAAATGCCGCTGCAGCCTTCTGCTTCTCTTCAGGCTGGGAGGGACAGGAAAGGAAAAGGAAGGAGTTGGGAACACTTACGAGCAAGGCACGTGGAGAGAGGGGGCCCAGATAGTCATGGGAGGCTCCATCTCATGGAGGAGGTCCAGCTTCTCCCTTCCGATGAGGCTCGAGCTTCCGAAACCCCCTCTCTGCCTCTGCTCGCTCCTCTCTCCTACCCCTCCTCCCCACCACCGCCCAGAGGGTCTTTGTAAGGCACTACCCCAAGCATGTCACTGCTGTCCTCAAGAGCTCCAGTGGCTCCCCATTGCCTTAGACCCTCCCGGCTCCATCCTCTGGCTCTCCACATTCCTGGGGTGACTTCCTGACTCAAATCCCTCCTAGCATCCCTGATTTTCTTGGAAGCAGTGAGGTAGTGGAGAGAGCACGGGGCTTAAAGTCTGGAAACATGAGTTTGAATCTGCCTCAGGCACTTACCAGCCATGTGACCCTGGGCAAGTCAGCTGCCTCAGTTTCCCTATTTGTAAAATGGAGATAATAATCACCCACCTCCCAGTGTAGTTGTGAGGATCAAATAAGATAACATATCTAAAAATGCTTCACAAACCTTAAAGTCATACATAAATGCCAAGCCTGTTACTTCAAGGCTCACCTTCTAAATGAAGCCTCCCGCTTCTGCTACTGGTCTCTTCAAAGTTATGTTGTATCAATTTGGTATGCACACGCACGTGTATACACACACACACACACACACACACACACACATTTGTTATCTCCCTGACATAAATTATAAGCTTCTTGAGGACAGAGACTGGTTCATGTTTCTCTTTGTAGTGCCTAGCAAAATGCTTGTCATATAGTAGGCACTTAATAAATGCACATTGCTTCATTGAGAAACTTTTTTTTTAAAGCTATATGGCCCTGCCATCGAAGGCCCTCCAAAATGCACCACCACTCCACTTTCCCAGCCTTGTCTGGGGCTGCTCCCACTCACACACCCACTGTAGCTCCCAGGCAGGCCAAAGTACTTCTCTTTTCTCTCTCTGCCTTCTCACATCTCTGAGGCCTTGCTCTTGCCACCAACCATGCCTAGAATGCCCCCTCCTCCAGGAAGCCTTCCCTAACCTCCCCCTCCCCACCATGAAAGCAATCTCACACTCCTTAAGTGTTTCCAACACCATGCTGGAGCCTCTGGGTGAGCATGGTTCACTCCCACACCTATTAGGCTTATTTGTGTGGTATATGTCTTTACTAAGCAGTAAACACCTTAAAAACAGGCTCAGTCTTCTGTCTGAGTAAGCCCAGAACCTGGTACAGGGCCCAGCAAATAGCACGGATTTAGTAAATGTTGGTAGCATTGAATTATTGCACCAGGCCTTGGCCCAGATGATCCAAAAAGAATTTTTATTTCACTGGGGAGTATGCAAGGAGGTTTGCCCAGGTTAACCATCTCAATTTGGTTTCTGTTAATATTCAAATCAGTCTGTACCAGCTGAAGATGGAGAAAGTAGGGCTGGGAGTGGGGAGGGATGGTGGGGAGGAGGAACCCTGAAAAGGCCTGGGCTGGGACCCCAGTTATGCCATCCACAAGCTGGGTGGACTGCAGCAAATAGCTTTACCCTCTGCTCCATTACCTCTTCTGTAAAATGAGGAGCGGGGTCTGGAAGATCTTCTAAGACTCCCAGCCCTGATATTCCTTGTTCTCAGGTCCCTCCCAGCTCTGACATCCCCTGTTCTAAGGCCCCTCCCAGCCCTGTCACTCATTGTCCAATCCTGCTCTAATGAGCTATGAGTATACTGGGAGGAACGGAATCCATCCCCCTGCCAGCTTTTCCTCTTCCTCATGCCCTTCACTGAGCCCTTGAGGCTGCATTGCCGTCCCTCTCCCTCACTAGTGACATGATGTGACCCTTGGCTCAGACGTCCTCTGTGACCAGACGCCAAGGCTGGCCAGCGGCAGGTCTCCCAACAGCTGAGAGCAGGATGGTCTGAGGCAATAGAGGCGTGGCCAGTGGGGCAGACAGTCCTGGCCACTCCGGGGCTGTTTGGCACCGAGGGTACCAGCCCTCCTTCCGGGCAGCTTTTTCCAACCAATGAGACGCCTTCGGGGACCATCAGGCAACCAGCAAAAGAAAACGCGAACAATGCTATGACACTGACTGATTCACTGTGGATGCGTTTCAATTAATAGCCAAGGCCTGTGCCGATGATCTATCACTTTCCCAGGACACCTGGGGAACACAAAAACCCCTAGCAACCACGAGCTCAGCCTAGCAACCCCCGCTCCTCCATGCTTGTGGTGGGGGGGGGGCACCGAGAAGCCTCCTTCCTGCCAACCTGCTCTTGGTTATTTATGAGATTTGGAAACACCAGAGAAAGGACACCACAAGGGCAGAGGCAGCGGGATATTGCTTACGGCCCCCGTTGTCAGCTGCAAGCGTCACAGTGAAAATTATGGGCAGACCCCGTCATCTGCCACCTTCCTTCCTCACGACTTTCTAGGGAAGAAAAATGGAGAAAACTCAAGCAAGCCCCATTTGTTTCTCTTCCCTTCCTCGAGTAGAGGGGAGAGAGGTCGCCGTTGCTATTACCCGAATGTTTCAGTCACGTCCAACTCTTCATGACCCCTTTTGGGGTTTTCTTGGCAAAGATACTAGAGTGGTTTGCCATTTCCTTCTCTAAATTAATTTACAGATGAGGAAACTGAGGCAAACAGGGTTAAGTGATTTGCCCAGGGTCACACAGCTAAGTGTCTTAGGTTGGATTTGAAGTCAGGTCTTCCTGACTCCAGGCCTGGTGCTCTATGCACTATGGCACCACTTAGCTGCTCTGGAGTCAGTGGACCTGGGTTCAAATCCTATGCCTGCCACTTAGTACCCATATGACCTTGGATAAATCATTTTGCTTCCTCCTTTGCACAATGTACTAAATGATCTCTAAGGCTTCCTTTAAAAGCTAAGATCCTAGGGGGCAGCAGGGTGGTGCGGTGGATAGAGCACCAGCCCTGCAGTCAGAGGACTTGATTTCAATCCGGCCTTAGACACTTGACACTTACTAGCTGTGTGACTCGGGGCAAGTCACTTAACCCCATTGCCTAGCCAAAAAAGAAAAAAGCTAAGATCCTAGGAAATGGTATAGTGGACAGGTCACTGGATTTGGAGAGACCTTGGGTTCAAATCCTGTCTCTGTCATTTACTGTCCATCTGACCTGTTATTAACCTCTCTGGGGATTCCTTCATTTTTTCCTCTGGACAATAAGAGGGTTGTTCTACATGGCCTTTGTGCTATAGTGCCCCTCAGCCCTAACTCTATGAATCTACATTCTTGACCTTGGAGTTCCTAAGTTCTTGAAAAAGACCTCCTCTGAAATTAACTAGGATGTTTTCTGGATATTTAAAATTCATTGAACTTCAAGGCTGCTGGGTGGCACAGTGGATAGAGCACCAGCCCTGGAGTCAGGAGAACCTGAGTACAAATCTGGCCTCAGATGCTTGACACTTACTAACTGTGTGACCCTGGGCAAGTCACTTAACCCCATTGCCTAGCCCCCCCCAAAAAAAATTGAACTTCAAAATGTTTAGGTTGGCCTGTCTTAAGGAATTGCCATCTCCCTCTTCACCCCCACCAGGCCCCCAAACCCCAAAGGCATGATGTCAAAGTTTCATGAGTACCAACAGGATCCTCAAGGTCAGCCCACCACTACAAGGGGCTTGTACAAGGCACATTTGGTGGTCCAAAGACCACATGTAGTTAGAAACCTTACTTATATTCTTTCACGCCTGGAGACAGCAAGATAGTAGAGTGGCCTGGAATCAGGATGACCCGAGTTCAAATTTGACCTCAAACACTTACTAGCTATATGACCTTCAGCAAGTCCCTTAACCTTTGTCTGCCTCAATTTCCTCATCTGTAAAGTGAAAGCCATAATTTTGGTCTGACCTGACCTGCAGTGTTGTCGTGTAGAAAACATTTTGTAAACCTTAAAGCACTGGGGAAAAAAAATGAGTTTTGAATACATGCTATAAAAATGTGTTCTAAAGCTTCCCAGGAATTTTATAGGATTATAGATTTAGTGCCATAAGGAACCCTTAAAGGCCATCTGGTCTAATCACTCTATTTTACAGAGAAGGAAACTGAGTAAAAGAAAGGGAAAGTGATTTGATCTAGGTCACACAAAGAGGAAGCAGCAGGGACAAGATTTGAATTCAGGTCTCATTCCAAAGGCAGGAATTTTTCGACTTTATCACTTCATGGGAACATAAGATGTAGAGGGGATCTCAGACAGCATCCCATCCAGAGGGGTTTCTGTCGTGGCACCTTGGCAGTGTCTGAGGAAGCCTGTGGGCCCCTTCTCAGCATCATGTAGGGAAATGCTAAATTTCAGTTAGTAAAAAATAAAGCCGTAATTTCTTCTGCATCCAGATTAAAAGACTCCCTCGTCTAAGGTGAGAGTAACTCTCCTAACCCTAAATTGGGAGTCTCTGATCTAGTCCAACCCCTTTGTTTTGTAGATGAGGTGACCAAGAAGGGAAGTGATTTATCTATGGTGTTGGAAGGAAGCGGCAATGCTAAGATTCAAAACCGGATCTGTGATACCAATCTTCTCGGCTCTACACCTAGTTCTCTTTCCACTATAAATCTTTACCTAAATGTCCACTGGGATCCCCCTCAGCCCTAAATCTAGAAGCCTACATTCTTGTCTCTGGAGTCCCCAAGGAAAAAGATGTCTATTTCCTACTGAAATCAACCAGGATGCTTTCCAGACATTCAAAATCCATCAAACTTCAGAAAGTCTGGGTTGGTCCTTGCTGAAAAATTGTCATCTCCCCAGTTTCCCCCACCCCAGGCCCCAAAGGCAAAAAAGCTAAAATTGTAAAGGATTGTGAGCATGAACTCTGAAACAATAAAAATATTTTAGAGTAGAAGAGACCGAGTCAAACATTTAGCTCAAACCGCTCATTTTTTACAGAAAAGGAAACCGAGGCCCAGGAGAGGGTGACTTGCTTGGCCAGGCCTCCGGCTGAGATTAGACACCA